ACCCCCCCGCACCGCCCGCCAGCCTCCCCCGCCTCGCCGGCTGCCAGGTCTGCCACTGGTCCGAGATGCCGCTCCAGTTCATCAAGAACCTGGACAAGTACGAGAAGCACGATGCGCTCGTCTTTCACTCCCTCGACTACAACGAGATGTCCGCCCTCATCTACACGCGCCAGCTCCGCAAGCTCGCCTCGTACTGCGTCCAGCTGCGCGCAGAGCCGCGCACCACCGACCAGCTGGTCGCTCTCTTCGAGGAGCGGCTGCAGCCGCTGCCGCAGGCGGGCGCGCCGCTCGACCTGCCCAAAAAGTCGATCTTCGGGCTGCAGCAGCTGCTCTGGCTCGGCCTCTACGCGGGCGGCATGCCGTCCGCCATCTTCCCCGCGCTGATGGTGCCGGTCTTCGCCGCCCTATCTCTCGTGGAGGCGTGAGGCGGGGGCAGGGCGGGGGCGGGCCGCCACCGGAGACGTGCGGGCCCCCGCTCCAACATGCGTCGGAGTCAGCGGGATAATGGGGTTTTCAAGTGTTAATATCGCCATTTGGCTCTCTGTGTATGCCGTGTTGAGAGAGCGTTAAAAAAAAGTAATATATCTTGACTTCCAACACCCGGACGTTCCCAGGGAGGTGGCGCGGCAAACGGAAACTTGCCTCGCGTCGGGCGGGCCGCGCAGCGCCGGCGCGAGCTGCCGTGCCCCGACCGAGAAGTTCAAGTTGTTGAGTCTTGAGAACCCTCTGGGCGGGCGTTACATGACAACCATGGTCGAGGTGCACCCTCCTCGGCTGGAGCTGACTCAAGTCGAGGAGGGGATCAAGTACGTGCTCGCGGTAGCTGTTCGCAACACGTCTGCTCGACGCTGCCGCGTGCGCATCGTGCCGCCGTGCTCGGCAACACTGCGGCTCTCATCGGCAAGCGATGTGGAACTGGCCCCCGGGCTGGAGCTCCGTGCTGAGCTGGCATACTTAACCGACGTGGTCGAGCCGCTCGACGATAGGTTGATAGTGCAGGCCAGCCACCGTGACGATGGCGCGCCGTCGCTGATAACGTTGCCCATTGAAGTGCGCCCTCGCTGCGCCGTCATACGGTGCGCCGTGGCAGACATTGATTTTGGGGCGGTGGCGCAAGGCGCGCCAACGGTGCGGCCATTGGAACTGCGCAATGTGGGATCGCTGCCAGGGGTCGTGAGCCTGAGTGAGCTGCTCGGCCCAGGAGGTCAGCCGATGAGGGAAGGAGGGACGCCTCCCTTCCGGCTGCTGCCCGCTCGGCTCGAGGTTGCGGCCGGTGGCAGTGCGACTGCAAGGGTGGAGTGCAGCGCGGCCGAGCTTGGTGAGGCGAGCTGCACGCTGCGCCTTCGAGTCGACGACGAGCGCGAGCATGCCCCGGCCGCGCCTGCAGTCGGGCTGTGTGCAGTTGTTGAGCGGCAGGCGCTGGAGCTGCGCGACAGTGAAAGTGGCGAACCCCTGACTGCCGTCTCGTTTGGCCGGCTCTTTTATGGACTGGAGGCTCGGCGCGTCATCACGGCCGTCAACACGGGGCCGTCTGCCGTCGACTTTGCATTTCTCAACCCGAGCGCGGACGCAGACGCTGACGAGACGGGGACATTCGACCCGCACGCAGCGTCGCTCTCGATTGAGCCCGCAATGGGCCTGCTGCCGCCGCACGGGACGTGCACTATCGAGGCCATCTTCCGGCCGACGCGCGAACCAAACGCCTCGAGCGACGCCAAGGGCTTCTTGGCCTCGCCAGAGACCGAGCCTGACGACGGCCAGGCTCTGGCAATCGAGCTTCAGCTGGAGTCTGTCGAGACGGGGCAGGCGTTGGCGCTCCGTTTGACTGGCGAGGGTGTCGTCCCGCGCCTCTCGCTGAGCGAGGGCACGCTTGTCTTCGGTGACGTCCCGCAGTACGACTACCTGGACCGGCAAGTCACGCTGCGCAATCAGTCTACTTTGCCCATGGACTGGTCGCTAAGTCAGCCAGCCCACTTTTCTCTCACGCCCTCCTCGGGCTCGCTACCTGCACATGGCGAGGCGGAGGTATACGTCCGCTTCTCGCCGCACCAGCTCGGAGAGCTCAAGGCGAATGCCCGCCTGCGTGGCTTCGGCGGCGCCGTCTGCGAGCTGCCACTCAAGCTGTGGGGCGGCTGCGCGCTTCCTCGTCGGCGCGTGCTCGAGGGAGGTGTCGACACGCTACCTGAGGACTTCGAGCGGCCGCCGCGGCTCGTATCGGGCGGCACATCCTCGCGGCCAGAGTGGTCGCGGCCGGCGCTGTGGGAGTCGACACGACGGATCGAGGAGTCGGCCACACAGCTGCACCGCCTTACCGACGGCAGCTTGCGGGCTTCGAGACGACGCGTCTCGCTTCGCGCACGCGCCGACGACGACGCGCTCGACCGGATCGACCAGATGGACACGGGCCTCGAGCTCACGTCGGCGGAGCAGCTCGAGCGCACGCAGCACAAGCAGGTCTACGCGACCTTCATAGCGCGGAGCCGCGAGGAGCGCGAGGCGGCACGGCGGGCGCGCCGTTCGGGCATCGATCCGGCCGAGCTCGCATTCGGGGTCTCTCTGGGGCTTGACCCCTTCTCCGGCCTAAACGCGCCGTGGCCCGAAATTGATGCGCCGCGCGAGCCGCTATGGCTGGAGCGGCCGTACGCGGCGCCGGGCTCGCAGGCGACGGAGGC